CCAACGATAGCCTTGCCAGTCAGAAGTTCGCGTTTGCAGAGTACTATCATTCGAAAGGCATTTTGACTATCCTACAGAGTGATTTGTGGGAGGTATTAGCTTTTTCAAATTCAGAATATCACAAAGAACGTTTATTTTGTACATTTAAATAAAGTTAATTAAGCGGAACAAACAAACAGTAATGAGGGGACTGGAAAAGACAGAAGGACCACATAAGAAAACCCATCTTCATCACTGTTTTTTTTTTCTCCTATTTCTAACAGAAAATAAACTATATTCTTGTGAAGCACTTGTTTATTCAGATGTGGAGGAAGCAGCAAACTAAGTTTTTTTCATTTACATTACCAGCAAGTCAACTTAAGCTTTAGATTTTTTAAAAGCCAAATCAACTATTCCCAAAATTGCTAATGAAATTGTTCACAGTTTTGAGCGGTTACAGAAGCTGAAACTGTACTAAATGATGTCAGACTTGACTGGACCATTAGTGTGCGGGTCTGGAAGGTATACCTTGATATCAGTGATGAACCCTTTCATAATTTGAGCAGTGAAGTCTAATACTTTTTCGTCGACTCAATTTACGATTAAGCTAACGCTGATGCTTTTTCATAAAGAACTTACGTAAATCCGTGACAAGTGGATAAGAGCGCAAATGTGATGTTGCGACAAGGAGCTCCCTGAGTTCGCCATAAGTAGTCATTTTGGTTATGCAGAACACGTTGTGCACCATCACATTTTCGACTTTCAGAGTATGGACACTAAAGTCCAAAAAAATTATATATTCGAATGCTGAAGCGATAAAATGCATCCTCAGCTTTTATGCGCTTTGTTGTGTAGCGCTATTGCGCTGCAACAGTAATAAAAACGCATACTGTCGAGAGAAGGTGTATTTTCGGAGCACATTTGTGTCAACCACTTTTAATTTAGCAAGCACAGAAGCTAGGAAGCTGTTTCCACTCCATGCTTGATCTTTCGTTTCTAAAGAGTGTAAAATATGTACAGTTCTAATTATAAAATTATATATTGCCTTTTTTCTTCCCTTTTTTTACCCTATGACTCAGGAATGCCAATCGCACTCCTGTGTGTTTACAGTTTTCCTTAATTTTGTCTTACCTTTTTTCCCATACCTTCAAAAACCATTTCATTTTCCATTTATCATCTTTCTTATCTTCTTTTGGCCCCCTACTCCTATTTCCTTTTCCTTTATCATTCCTTTTTATCTCCCAATTCCCCAAATTTCCTAAATTCCTTCAATTATTACATTATCCCCTGGGGCGGGCCCCAACTCCCTTTACAAATCTCTTCTCCTTTCTTCTTGGTCTCGGTTCCCAACCAACGATGTCTTCAACCCCGGCACGCCAGCAACTACTCTCGCCG